CTGTTTGGCTCCCCTATTGGAAAACTTTCTTTCTAAAATTATCTTTCCCCCCTGCAGATTTAACTGTTTTCCAAAAGACAGCCTAGCTCTGAGTTGGCTGGATCTCTTGAAATACAAACAATGCTCCCAGAGGGAAGCTTATTTGTTTTTTCAATCAGTCCTAGCGGATCCTTCATTACTGGGTGGAGTAAGTTGAAAGAGGAGCATTATAAGAAGATGAAACACATTCAAATATTATGGGGAAACAAATTATCAGAGCTCCATGTATCTCCCAAGACCTTGCTTTGATCCAACGCTTATACAGACCTTCAGGGAAAACAACATCCTTTGCAGCCACTTCCAGTTCAAGCCCTTACTAATCTACCAGCGTTTTGTGCTTTACTAATAACTATCTTCCTTCTTTAAACATAAATAATTAGCTGCTTGTTTTTGAAAATGTGCTATGTTTTTACAACAGCTTCCCCAAAACTGGTGCCTTTCGTTTACATTGGGACTAAAGATCCTTAAGTACAAAACATCTGGAGAGCAGTAGGCACAAGCAGTAGTGGTTTAGAAAAGGCAAAAGCAAGCATTCATTTTTTTTGACTGGCATGCTCTAAAATATAACTTGAAAGACTGAAGAAGCCCAAGAGATCCCTACCCCACCTGATTTTAATTTATTTTTAGATCATAAGGGAAAAAGGGAGACAGGGCAACTGTGATGCTGAGAACCAGCCTCCACCATCATTTGTACCACAGGAATGCTACTGAGTCCACATAAGCCTCACATATATTCTTGGGAAATAAAAGTTAGAGGTAGAAGTATGTACTGGTAGCTATCTAGAAAAAAACGATAAAGGAAAACTGAGATAAGAGAAAGTAAGATAAGGGAAGGAAGAACATTGTGGCTTCAAAATCTAAGGGAGTGGTTTGGACAAAACTCAGCAGCACTTTTTTGTGTGGCTGCTGATAAAAACAGGATTGCCAACATGATCGCCAACGTCCGATAACGGATATGGCACAAGAAGAAGAAGAAGATGGGAAGCTGAAGCATAGTGAGAGAACTTCAACAGCTTGTCTTCTAGTAAAAAGGTGCTGCATGAATGACGATGACAACAATGGCAGCCATTTGGTAAATAGGCAAACAGCCACCAGGCCATACCACAATGATTTCAGGAGAGCAAGCAAAATGTTTGCCTACATGAAGGAGGCTATAATGACCTGTTAAGGAGTTTATTTAATGAGAGGTGATTGGATAGTAGATGTTTGATGCACTTTTTGTTTTATTTCCCACATGTTGTCAGCTAACAGAAATATACAAAACCTTTACAGTATATACTGGCAGGGCTTTTTTTCAGCCGGAACGCGGCGGAACCGCGTTCCGGCACCTTTTTCCGGGCCGGCCGCACCGGAAATAGCCCCTCCCACACCGGAAATAGCCCCTCCCAAATTTTACTTGCATTCCTGTTCTCTAAAGGGGCGGTCCTAGGGTTTGATGAGGGCGTGGCCAGGTTTGAGTTCCGCCACCTTTTCT